TAAATAGTAGAATTGAGAAAGTTTATAAAATTAAGACTATTTTCATATTATTTTAGTTTCTAAATCTTGCTGTTTAGTATTCTGTATTTTATCTCTGATAATTGATATATAAATGTGTGTGCATATATGGTATTTATTACCCCTAAATTATAACCTTGAGGCATATATATTAAGTATTATTCCCAAGGGTAATTTCTCAAAATATCATTTTCTTGGGATAAATATCCTGAATGTGTATAGCATTGGTCAGATAAACACCTAAGCTCAGCAGTGTTTTAGACTGTTGCTAGTTTAAGATTTAGGTGAAACTTGGAATTTAAAGTATCAAGAACCAGATAAAGATGTCACAGGAAAAACAACAGATGCAAAAATCCTGAGCAAAATATTCGCAGACGAAATCCAGCAAATATAAAGAGGATTATACACTGTGACCAAGTGGGATTTATTGCAGGAATGCAAAATTGGTTTAATTCACAAAATGTGACTAATGTTATACAGTATATCAATAGAATAAAGGACAACTGCCACATAATCTTGTTAACAAACAGAAAACTTGACATTTGAAAAAATCCAACTTTTTCATGATGAAAACACTCAACAAACTAGGAATATAAGAGAACTTAAAGTGAAAAAGGTCATCCTATATAATAAAAGGCTAATATGGCAGAACAACTGAACAACCAGTCGCTATGATGTGTGCTGACCACCAGGGGGTGCGCGCGGAACATGGCAGGCATCAGCAATAGGCGGCAGAGTGCGAAACATGGTGGGCATCAGCCGCAGCAGGATGGTGGAGCAGGTGAGCAGGGGCACCAGACCAAGGCAGGGCACCAGTCATTGTCATCCAGGTGATACTCTGGTGGTTACTGAAAATTCTTTGCTCCCGCACACCACGGTCCCACCTGGCACTCGCACCGGCTCCGATCGCTCAGCACCGTCAGCAGGTGTGAGCGGTGGCTGCTGGCCCCGATCGCCCCTCAGGACTTCTGCCCCTCCCCCTGCTCCTGAGGGGCAATTGGGGCCAGCAGCCACCTCTTGCACCCGCTTCTGGCATCAGCCCCAATTGCTCCTTGCTGTCAGCGGGTGTGAGTGAAGCCAGCGCTGGCAGTGGCGAGAGTGGCAGCGGCAGGAGCTGGGCTGCCGGCAGACAGGGGACCGGGGGCTATGGCAGGAGGGGCCAGGCGGGGGCATGGAAGATGGGCTGAGACTTGCCCCTGTGCCCACCGCAGCCTCACGGCCCATAGTTCCTTTCAGGTGCACGAATTCGTGCACTGGGCCCCTAATCTACAATAAACCTACAGCTAAAATTATACTTGATAGTGAAAGAGTGAATGCTTCCCCCGCTAAGGTAAAGAATAAGAAAAGGTTGTTGGCTCTCTCCACTTCTTTTCAACCTTGTGCTAGAGGTTCAAGCAGATTAATTAGGCAAGAAAAAAAAATATTAGAAATGAAGAAGTAAAACTGTCTCTTTTAGCAGATAATATGATTTTGCATTGTCTATAGATAATTCTAAAGAATACAATAGAAATTATTAGTGCTAATAAATGAGTTCATTGAACATTCAGGTTATAAGATCAACATACAGAAATCATTGGTATTTTTTATATATTGTCAGTGGCCAATAGGTACATGAAAACATCATTATCCATCAGGGTAATGCAAATCAAAACCGTAATGAAATGGCACTTTAAACCCACTTATCCCTTATAATAAAGAGGTAATATGCAAATTGACCATCACTCCAACACACAAGATGGCCACCCCCATGTGGACACAAGATGGCCGGCAGGGGAGGGCAGTTGTGGGTGATCAGGCCAGCAGGGGAGGGCAGTTGGGGGGACCAGGCCTGCA